GACAGAGCCGTCCCAGCAGCCCAGCGAGAACACGGAGCAGGCGGGGGGGAGGGCGTGGGTCGACGTGGTCAATACCAGGAGGGAGGCGGCCACACTGGCGGCGAGCGGGCCGTCGAATGGAGCGGCAGAGGCAGCACAACCGAGGAGGCAAAACAACAACACCCGCCCGAGGACCAGCAGCACGGCGTCCCGCGCCAATATGTCTCTCGCAACGCGACGACAGGGGCGGCAGCACGGCAGGAGACAACGGCAAATATACCTCCCGAGAGGCTTCCAGCTCCCCAAATCGGTGGCCCGGCGGCCTCAGCGCACCAGGGGCGGACAACCAGCCATGCGGTCGCCCAACTCGTTTCAAGCGCTAGAGACCATCGACGAAGAGGAGGGAGACACAGACGAGACCGCCACACAACAGCCCCAGCAGCGCAGCGGACGGGAGTGGCGGCCCGTCAGCCGACCAGCCGCCCCGCCAGAAGCAACCGCTTCCACTGAGCAGCCCGCCACCCAGCCACCCGCACCACCAGGGCCTACCAGAGGCGTCCGGCGGCCCGCCAGCCAACCAGCCGCCCGGCCAGAAGCCGCCGCACCCACCCAACAATCCGCCGCCCACCCCGACATACCACCGAGGACCAGCAGGAGCGTCTGGCGACTCGTGAGCTGGCAACGCCCCACAGCCCGCCTCAAGCAGCGTGCAAGACGAAGAAGTGCCTGAGGGCGAGTGCGAGTACATAGAGGGAGACTATCAATACGGGGAGGGGCAAGAGGACCAGGGCGAGAGCCAAGAGGAGCGGGGCGGCTCACAGCAAGAAAACCTCCTATCGGAATCGAACCCACACTCAATGCACCCTCGTGCTTCTCACTCAGGTATGCACCCTTGTGCTTCTCACTCAGGTATGCACCATCGTGCTTCTCACTCAGGTATGCACCCTCGTGCTTCTCACTCGGGTGAGTGTCGGCATCGATCTCAACCCCCCGCGCAACACCCTCCGCCACACACACGACAGAAGTGGCGCCCCATCACGCAGCCAGACGCACCACCACCGGCCCCCACACTTGTCTGGCGTCCAAGAATCCAGCGAAACGCCGCTTCAAGGCATGAGGCGGGCGTATGGATCCCGATGCAGAGAAGGGCGCCGGGACAACCAGCACAGCCGCCGACACACATATGGGTGGCAATCAGAGGTCGCCCACCAGGCCTGGCCCCACCATCCCAACAGCCCTCTCAACAGCCCTCTCAACAGCCCTCTCAACAGCCCTCTCAACAGCCCTCTCAACAGCCCTCTCAACCGTCCCAACCACCTCCACGACCCCCTCAGCCGCCAACAAACGCAAACAACCATGCCAGCAACACGAGAGGGGGCAGAGGCGGCAGACGAAGCGGCAGAGGGTCAGGGAGAGGACGGGGGAGGGGCCGAGGTGGGGGGCGAGGGCGTGTCGCGCCGAGAGGAGGAGGCGGCGATGGCGGGGACCCCGACGAGCCAGGCGACGACACGGGTGGGGGCGGCGATGGGGGAGACCACAATGGGGGCGGCAGCCGCCGCGCCGCATCAGCACGCAACGGCACGCGTGGGCCGACCAAGACGATCCCGGAGAGAGGGCTGGCGCTCCTGAGGAACCGCACAGAGGAGCAGCACTCGGCGGCCTGGCGCATGGGCATCCCGACGGAGGCAAGGATCCCCCCCCAGCAAGGATCAACATGGCTGACGTGATGGAG